CCCCCCCCCCGTCACTCTGCCGTGTGACTAAATCACATACTCAGGGGTGTGTGTTAGCGGTTTGGGCTTAGCCAGGTGTCTCTGAGGAGTCACATACTTTCCTGGGCTCAGGCAGTTTTTAGTGATGCCAACAGACGTTCCTGACTTTCGCTTGGGTAGGATGCTCCCCAAAACTGCTGTCCTGGCAAAGTTGCCCTTCACCTACTCTCTCGACAGGGGGCGATGGCGAGTAGAGAGGGCAGAGCAGAGATAGCAACATTCAGAGACCACCGCTGCCCCCCCCACAATGCATTAAGGGGCGACAGGAAACATGGGGGCCTGTTTGTCACAGCTGATGACTCTGGGGCGTATTTGATAATTAATACCATGGCCCGTTACATACGTGTGTGTGTGTGTGTATAATATTTAATAACCCCTTTCCCATAGGGGGCCGTTTTTAATGAGCTATTGTAGCAGCGAGGGCTAATGTCAGGTAGAGAAAGGAGCTCTTCGTCGCGGCGATGTCTGAGCGCCATGAAATATGACGGTGCTGACCTTTCGCCAGCGTACGTATTTGTCAGGATCCGAAAAAGTCGGGAGAATCAAACTGAACGGCTTTCCAAGGCAGGCTGGGAATTGGCCGGTGGAGGTCAACGGAATGTTCCGGCACAGCCAGCTGTTGGTAGGCGCGAAGGAGTCAGGCGCCTCTTACAGACAAAGGAATAAAATTAAAATTCTAATTTATTAATGTATACGCGGAGCAGGGCTGGGTCGCCACTCAGCCGTCGGAAAGAGAGTGAGGCTGCTTTGCTCAGCCCTCCAGCTCTGGGGTCCGCTGGGCCTCTTGCGAGCTCACGCCAAACGGCTGATTCGATCCACGTCATCTTTACCGGGGCTCAGTGAAAGGGAGACTGTGGATCTCATGGGACGTGCATCCATATGTCAGGGGACAACACATTGGTACGCCAACCAGGGGGGCGAGCAGCCATTCCTGAAACATTAGAGCCTTTGAATGTGGGGGGGGGGGCCAACGGCGGATGTCGTCTTAGAGAGGAAGCGACGCTAAACGGTGGGTCCATCCAGGCGATGGCGGACACAAGGCCTAAAATCTTGATTTGGTGTTTCTGTGGTATCGGTGCTGAAATCTGCGTGCGACACCGGAAGCCCGGTGGGTCAGACTGAACACAGAGCAGCTGAACGCCGACCCACACGAGGGGAGCCTCAGCCAAGCTGCTCTGAAGCCGGCAAATTAGCGGCAGAGTGACACATGTAATTAAAACAGTCCACACCACTTTACCTCTCGCTTTATACCTACAGTGGCGAGTAGGAGCGAGCGGCTGCCACCCCACTAATTACCGTTATCACTGAAATGGTAGGTTTGACTCATTAGTTCCATGTGCATTTAATTAGAGGGAGGCTGAAATTGGATTTAACTTATTACTTTTTCATGGATCACTTTCTTGTCATCACTTCAAATTGGATTGCGGCCCCAGGTAACTCATTATGGAGGCCGTGGGATGGAGACCGCAGAGATAGGTAATTAGGGACAACACCGTCGGACCCTCACTGATAGCCCGCGCTCACCGCCGAGAGAAAAAAAATTAGCCTCGTTTGTTGCAACGCTGAGAAGCCGGTGCGGTTAGCTATGCCTGCGCTGCAAGGGATCGCGGGAAGGAGGCCGCCCCCCTAAGCTGGATTATGTGTCACGCAGCTGGACTGAAGATGTTCTGTCAACATGGTTCCAGTGTGACTCTCGTGTTCGACTCGCTGGAAGTCCGGAGGCAGACTGTCGTCGTGGATACGTAGCGCTCTGATTTCATTGGTAGGACAGCAAAAAAATAAATAAATAATGCTGTTTAGTTTATGCTGTTTTGTTCAAATAGCTGGATGGGCAGAAAATTCCAGTCATAAAAAAGGTGATTATTTGCCAGAGATGTGCTTAGCTCACGTTTCCTGTCTTGAAGTTTTGTTGTGTGGAGAATTCCTTTGTGAAGTTCAATGCTTCCAGTGTTTGCCGGGATTGCGTCCGTTTTCTCTACGGCGCGAGTGAGCGGCTCCGGATGGGTCACCCTGTCCTCGTCTTCCCACAGAACTGCGCCCCATCAAAGGGTTAAGATCATAAAAAATTCTCGGCGGAGCAGAGGCTCTCGGCGTGTCCCACCTCGGAAAAGGTTCCTGCATTCGCCCTCTCTCTCTCTCTCTCTCGTATCCCACAATGCACTGTTGCAGAGGGTACTTATAGGTCATAGCATAATATCAGGGTAGTTCTGTACACTGTGAGTGTGAGTTGCTTCCCCCCCTTCCCTCTTTTTTGGATTGTTCCATATTCTCCCATGCCCGACCCTCTCTGGAGCGTGAGGCATGGCGGATTGACGAGCGGGGCGGGGGGGGGGCGGGTTTGGGGTGGAAAAGAGAGGTTTTCCCACTACTGTTTTGTTTTTTTCTTGCTGCTGCCTTACAGCATTTACACACACATACACATACACACACACACACACTTGTAGCCTCCCGTCTGTCTCTCATTACTTTGTCAGCCCTGGGGGCCGGCCAGCATACACCCCCCCCCCCTCCCCAGGCATGGAGTGGGTCAGGGGCTGTCCAGGCCTTGGCAGTTTTGCTTGAAGCCCCACCCCCCAGGAAAGCCAGCCTAGGAAGGAGAAGGGGGTTGAATGGAGGTGGCCTGTTAGCCGACCCCTCCCCCCACCCCCCCTCATCCAAACGTGCCAGCGATTCCTGCTGAAACGTTCCTAAACTAAAGGGCACAATTACACAGCTAGTTAGGGCTGGCTGTAGCGACCGCTCACCAGTTAAATAAATGCATGTTTAAAATCACCTGATTTTATTGGTAGCTAACATGTGTGTCTGGGTGCACATCTGCCGGCGCTGAGCTAAATCAGCCAGAAAGGCCGGGGTCGTGTGACAGGGGGCCTCCTTTCGTATGCCTCTGTAGCTCCGCCGTGATGTCATCGCGCAGGAATGATCAACACATCAGCCTGTTTAAGCCAGAGCCCAGATCCCATGCATCCCCCGCTTTGTTTTCCTTGTCATATTGTAAAAATGTATCATGTGTACTGTATATATTAGAAACAGGTTTTGATAATTCTGTCAGGGTGAAGTCATTGTGGCCGTGGACCGGGGGCCAGGGGCTGGTCGCAGCCCCTTTTCTGTCGGACTCCTTCTCTTTACCTTACAGCTCTCACTGTCCCAAAGACCCCCCCCCCATGCCTGGAATCATCTGGAATCAGGAAGCATCACTTTCTGCCAGAGAATCTCAGTGTCATCTGTGTGGCATTTGGGGTGATTCATGATCCCTTAGAGGGTGGGGGGGGGGGGGTGCAGTGAATCAATGGTTGTATATAAAGCATAGATCACACGTTAAAACGTCCCGCAGTGGGAGTAAATATATCTGAGGTATAACAGGTTTTTAGACGGCACAGGACCCCCCGCCCCTCCCCCCGGCAGGTCCGGCCCTAACGCCGCTGCCTCCTGCCGGCTAGTCGGCCGGAATTTTTTTTCTTCATTCCGAGGCCGGGCATGTTTTCGGTCTGTCTTAGATCTACAGTCCCGATGGTTCTTTTTTTGTGTCGTGGTGCTCAGCTTTAGGGAAAAAAACAAAATCCGCACGTATGATTGTACCTCCCCCCCCCCCCCCCCTAGTCAGGCCGCGTTTTATTTGTCATAGTCCCACGGTGTTACGGTCCAAAAGCACCTGAGAAAATGCAGCGGCGGCAGCGGCAGCCAGCAACGTGGCATTAAGGACACGGAAACACGGGCGGCATGATGCCTTTTTAAATGACAAGATGCGGCGGCCATAAAGCGGTGAGTGTCGCTGATGCACTCAGGTGGCCGCCAAGGGCTCCATGTTAACCACACTAATAAATTATAACTCTTTACTTATTGATGCTTTGATTATAGATCAGGGCTCACGCTGCGTGCCGGCCGCCTTCCAGGGCCGATTTCCCCCTTCTTTATGTCTGCCAGGCAAACATTTTAAAAAACCTTTGTTAAAATGTGCTATAAATTAAATCTGGCAAACAACATGATTTTTCCCCCGGTAATTTTTTATTATAGTTATATGTTTTGTGTTTCGACGGTTGTTATCGTTTGTTGTGTTTATTTCCACACGTATTTTAAATGTTTTCATGACATTACTAAATATAGCACTTTCGGACTCATACAGAGAGTAAAAAATAAAAATCCCCCACCCTTTTATTTGATCTTAAAGATTAAAAAATTGGCACTAAGGCAATCGAATATGAAAATAGTATCCTGTTTTGACTGGCTGTTAAACCACACCAGACGTAACGCGAAGCAAAAACACCGAATTTCGAGACACGGTGGCACATTAAGACAGGAAACATTTGCAAAAATTAAAGTATTGCTCTCCTTTTCGCCGTTTTATAGAATAGCGAAATAAGTGAAAGTGGCCTGTTTTTGTTGTTATTGTTCGTTCTTCATTTTCTTTTTATATGCTTGGTACCGGGAAATGACATCGAGGCGACGAGTTTCGCTGTTTACTTGCGGTGAGTTTCTGGATTACTGGGGGTGCGGAGCGGCTGGGGGGCAGCTTCGCCCGTGCTCACCGGGGTAATACGCCGCTGCTTTCTCTTTTAGTATTAGACAGGTGGGTGTTTCGGACCCGTGTTAATTTAGCAACGACACCTGAATGTCATACATCACACGGTTTAATTATGCATTTGCAGAAAGTATGATTTAAACAAAAAAGAGCGCGGCCAGTAAATGCGGCCCC